TAGTCATAGAGCCAACTGTTGAAGTTAGCAATGTTAGGCCTTTTGGCTAAGATGTTCTTCTTCTACGCCTTTGCCGATTGTAAACTCCGGCGGAAAAGTTCTGGTTGTTCGTCCACTTTCAGACTCTAGTCCCGTCCCGGAAACTGAGTGTTGCGTGTACATCCGTTTCACAGGTTGAGCTATTTGCATGCAGACTGTTGGTTCCTTGCCTTTCAGACAGATGTACTCCGACTTCGAAAGAAGCTCCCACTTAGTTGACTCTTACGACATGCTTTTAGGCAGGCAATGGGTCAGTCCTTGTTTTCCCCGACAATGGGGCACTGGAACCCACACGGGGAAGCTTGGCTAAGATCAAAGTCGGTAATAAAAATACGCCAGTCGGAAAGAACAGTTGATGATTCATGTTGATGTTGCCAGTTTTGAGAGTATGTCGTCTAAAACTGCTAGTATAAATCATTAACATTTTTATCTACTCTGTGCATATCAAACACTCTTTTGCAAATATTTAGTCTTAATGTTACTAACTGGGGTTGAATGTATGTCTTAGAATAGAAAACAACAAACGTATGTTCCCAAAAAACAACCACGTGATGCCCAGGGCGTGACAAAGCCAGGTCTGGTTTGAAATTCGCAGACAAGTGGCGCGCTGGGCTCGACATCAGGGCTGCCAATGCTTGGGTTTCCCCCCCCCCCAGATCTGGGTTTTTATTTGACGCCTCGGGGAAATCTGGGTTTTTTTTTTAATATATCCTTATATAAAAGTGGTAAATGTTTCGTTTCGTAACTATAAATTTTGTACATTTTTAACAATCTTAGTTTTTTTATTTTGTTTTCTTGTTCTTTGTCTATGTATTGCTTGGGTTTTTGTTTAGCGAAGCTGGGTTTTTCAAAAAATTCCCATTTGCAGCCCTGCTCGACACAATCATCTCTTTCTCACTCGCAATTTACCAGTCCAGCCTGACGCATCGCATTCAGCCATCCTCCCGTTATTTCGAACTTTATTGTTGCTACTCAAACTACCAGTAACCATGGTAAGTTATATGTTTGTGGAAAGATTATGTAGTTAAGTTTGTTTTTGCGTAAGAGGTTGTATTTTATGTAGTGTAATTATTTTATTGTTTTCTCCATTTTGGCCTCGTGGCGTTTTGTGTTTGTGAGTCAGATGAAGACACCATCTTGTATTTCGGAAATGTCTTTATCTTGTCGCAGTTAGTGTCTTGTAAAACAATGTTTGGCATCTAAATTGAAGCGGTACGTGTAAACTAATAGTTGTTATAAAGTAAACATCGTAATTTTGTCTGTGGTTTAAAGATCAGAAGGTCGCGCCCTTGAGGTTTAAATGTGCAATGACGTCGTAGACACTTGTAATGGCCGTCACGTGACCACACCGCCTCCTTGTTTTATGTGGAGGTATTTAATCTGAAGTGCTGAAAAGTCAAACTCCCCCAGATCAATATTTTGCCACTGTATAATAGCCTTCCTTTAAATTAACGCGCCAGCTTAACTTTCTTCTGTAGGCTTCAACTGCTTCTTTATAGTACGCTTCAACTCTTTCTTCAGTAGCATGCAACATTCGCAGTTGGCCCAAGGCTGACATTGTAAAGTAAAGAACATTTATTTTATCCTTATCCAGTTGGTGGCACTCCTTGCAGTGGTGACTATCTATATACTATATGGGATGTAATCTATATTGTTTTACAGCACAACCCAGAAACAAGCATAGAAATTTAGAAGGCTGACAGATCCCTATGTATAAAAGGTTTCGTGGTCTAGAAGTAGAAGGGAAGATTTAAAGTATTATATTAAAATAAAAAACACGTACAGACTGCAAAAAAGATCAGAGAAGTAACAAATCTAAACCAATTCCATTACATTACACTTTACATTTAGACAGGACAACATCTGTCGGAGTTGTGAGAAAATATTTGGTATTTTAAAAAAAATACTCAGAAGAAACAAAACAGGAAAATCGCATTTATCTAAAAGAACAGTACCCAAGTAACACCTGGACTCGTGCGTATATATACTATACAGATGGATCAGCAAAACTTAAAAAGTTTGAATTGTCCTGAATCTGAAAAATGGATTAAAGCAACAACTGCAATTGGAAAATTTTTAAGCAGAGGCCTTGAGAACTACAGCAGAAATGCTTCTGTCAGAGAAAAATAAAAACACAGCTATCTTCACAAACTCAGTTGTCACCATACTGAAGAGCAAAAACAATGTAGAACTAGCAGACCTTAGAGCTGCACTCCATGGACTGAGCCATAAATAAAAGCTGTAGTGCAATGGTTTCCATCTTATGCAACATACCTGCAAATAGAGGTAAGGGAAGGTGACAGACTAAACTAGCCTGATATATTAACTGAATATATGATGCGGCCAAGAGGTTTATAAGATGTGATTACAGTAACAAGTGGATTTCTCAACATCCAGGCCCAAGAAGGATTATACTACCAACTTGGCTGGAGATTATATGTAATGTTTAGACTCCCCACAGGACACACTAGGTTGGCTGAAACACTTGTGTTGCAAGTGTCCAACATATGCAGAACAGTTATTCTGGCTGACACCTACTCCGTCCAAGGACAGACTCACTGGAGATGCAATTACTTACATTCACAGTTGATTTTTAAAAAATTTACATTGATGTTTGAAGGTATAAAATAAATAAAAAGGGAACTGAGGGATTCTCGGAGCTAATAGCTCCCAGTTAAAAAAAAAAACATAAGAAAATGAAACGGACCAATCAGTATATATACTGCCACACAGGATGTCCATAGGAATTAACACAGCAATTAAAAAAGTAACTGTTGAACAATTTAGATTTGCAACAAAGCAAATAAGTGGATGCAGAATCCACTGCAGAAAAAGTAACATGTAAGAGAAGCAGAGTACTCATTTTATTTAGGTAATTGAAATCCCTGGTCTGCAGGCTGCCTACTGTTAGCTTTTAAGACTTAGCTCATGATAAATAAAATGTTCAGTTCGTGGAAGTGAGGTTTAACAGTCATGAGTAGGATGTGATGATTCCTGTGGTGAGCACTCTGTCTGAGTGCCATGTATTAGGTTAGGGGGGAGGTTACATGTGTTTATTTCACTTCATATAACACCCCAGCTATATTCTTGGACTTTCATTGAAACTCCCACAAAATCTGAGTGGTGTGGATAGAAAGAAAAGGGCCAGAGTCGTATTGTAAACAAGTCACATAAGACGTGCATATAGTTTTGCATATTAGAAAGTGGGCCTAAAAACATGAACAACGTAAAAGTAAAAAAAAAATACTATTTTACACATACATTGATTGATCATTACCCAGAATAGACAGAATAAAATAGTATGATAATCACTGCTAAGCTTAAGGAGCAGGCTAAACAGATTCAAGAGATAAGTAGGATGGATAATAGCATTAAATAAGATGCTCATTGAGAACCTAACTAGAATATACTTTCACTGGAACGCACAGGGAGGTGGAATACATGCTGAAAAGCACTGGAGATATCATGTAGGTAAACAAAAACAGGTGTGAGGTCCTCTGCACCTGATGGCAAAGGATTGGTTGTTGAGTTGGCACAAGTTGGTTGAAATGACCCTTTTCTCCACTGAGGGATTAAGTGCAGAAAAGGAAAGCTTCCAAATACCAACTTGCAGAAACAATTTTCATTGTATTTTTCAAATGCATATTTTAAAAAATAGTTTACTTCTTCTTCACTTCTTTTACCTATGTGGGTGTCGAGGGAGATATAAGGTTCTGTATAAAAAACTGATATAGTTTACTAGAGCTACCAAATTGAAATATAGTAGCTAAGTCTCAAATATAAAGAGGAATTCTAATGTTTTTCTTTCTGTTCAACATTAAACACATAATAGAGAAATAGAAACTATGACTGCTGTTAGATTTTTAGAATCTGATTGCATGTCCTTTTAGGATATCACCATATGAACAAGGCTATCTGTTGGCTGTAGCTGTGCACAGCCTTTCTACATTCAGTACTTTATCATAGTGTATCTGCCAAGAAAGTTTGGGACCAACAGTCTGCATACATATGACAGATCTGTAAGACATGTGCACACAAAACTAGTTTGGAACAGTACCAAAGTCCAAAAGTGGATGAACAATCCATGTTAACAGCGGGTAAATGCTAAAATGACCTAGTACTTGCTATTGGTTTTTAGAACTGCGATACTTGAAACTTTGTTAAAAAATCATGGATCTACTGATGTCCTGTATTTTATTCTGTGGCGGGCATCTTGCAATTTTAGACTTATAGCTTGGGGTAAACCCAGTACAGTCATCACTTCTCTAGACTTATAGCTTGGGGTAAACCCAGTACAGTCGTCACTTCTCTAGACTTATAGCTTGGGGTAAACCTAGTACAGTCATCACTTCTCTAGACTTATAGCTTGGGGTAAACCCAGTACAGTCATCACTTCTCTAGACTTAAAGCTTGGGGTAAACCCAGTACAGTCATCACTTCTCTAGACTTATACCTGAGTATGCTGTTAGTTTTTCCAGTCAGACTGGGTCTAAGAAGGTCTCTGTGTGTTCAAAAGAAGTAAGCTGTTACTGCACCAATTTAAAAAAAAATCCATGCTGTTTGCATAATACCCAGATCCTGAAATGCTTCCAGTGTCGTACTAGACGATAATCAAGATTTGTCAAGTGTTTTATGTTTACTTATTGCTGCTGTATGATGGTGAAAAACCTGACAGTGAACAATAAATATAGAATTGAGAACTTAAGCTTGTGGAGATGTGGATTTACAGTGAAAGGGTGAAATGTTTTAACCATTTTTAAAACCACACTGAAGGGAAAGTTGGAGATAAAAAGTATGAGGGGAAAGAAGACATCAAGAAATGGACAAACGGCACTTAAAATTTACAATTAAGACAGGAGACCAATGGAGATCTGTTAACGAAACTTTTCTCTAGAGGCATTGATAATTATATTATTGACTAACATTTACAAAAGCTCATTTGTGTCTATTTTTGTCGACAGCGTGAATGTATCTCAATGCATCTTGGCCAGGCAGGTGTCCAGATGGGCAATGCCTGCTGGGAACTGTACTGTCTGGAACATGGCATTCAGGTATGATGATTTTCATCTTACTGATTATTTGCTGAATTATACATACTTTGTGACCAGTTTTAGCTATTGGTATTTTCCTGATGTTTGAAAACGAATTCTAGACAGTAATCACTTTAGCAAGAAATCGTGGGAACTACTTTATGTGGGTTGTGTAGCAGAGAACAAAGAATAAACCAACTGCATTGAAACAGGTAGCTAGTTATCGGTTTGCTGAAATCAGAGTGCTAAGGCTGTATGGCAGCACTATTCAGTGGGCTGGTCATTGTCAGTTGTGTTAGTAATCTTTTTTTTTTTTTTTTGCTGGGGCTTTGGCATCTGACCCTTTATGATCCCTGTTTTCAAAACAAAGTTGAATAGCTCCGCTGCATAGTCTACAGTACAGCATGCAAACCAGCCCTTCAAAGGCAAACACAGAACTGAGGGCAGCGGTTTAAAAAAAAGACATATAGAATAGCATATCATGGTAGGGAACTTACAAATGGATCCACATGTCAAATTGACGTCATTAATGAACTGTTCTTTGTCAGGCATGCTAATGCAGGATGATTTGTTACTAAACATATGTTTGTTCTTAAAAGCCCGATGGTCAGATGCCGTCAGACAAAACCGTTGGCAGTAGTGATGATTCCTTCAACACTTTCTTCAGCGAGACAGGATCCGGCAAACATGTTCCCCGTGCAGTATTCATAGATCTGGAACCCAATGTTGTTGGTAAGTTGTCTTCTGTTTGTAGACATTTTTGATTGGTGTCTCAAAGTAGGAGTACTTCTGCCCCATAAATCTACCCTTTTCAGCAAAATTTTCTTTTTCACATTTTTTATTTATTTATTATGACTATCTTTACCTGTGTGGCATTGCATTCTCTTTCTGTTTAAAAGAAGTTATGCCTTTTACAGTTGTCCCTTTAGATATATGTTTGTATGATACTTTTGGCGTTTGTATTCATAGTTTAGTTTTATAGAATGCATTTCAAATAACTGATGTATATTACTGTCTGCTGGTGCAGAGCTTGGGACTTGTGCATATTGGACTCGAGTTGCATAATTAATTACTCACAACTACTTAGGGTTTTGTCCTGTGACTTGGTTTGACAAAGTAAGTGAGGTAGGATTAGTGATCATCACAGTTTAAAACGGCTTCATATATTTATCAAGCTTTTACGTTCGTCTTTGTTGTAGTTTTTGCACCGCTATTTTTCAGTTTTATATTTCCACCATTTTTATTCATTTATTATTGTAAATTTAAAAACCTTTGAATGGCTTGGCTTGATACATGAATTGACTTGACCCTGGACTGGATATGGGAGCATTCTTAGTGACTTAAAGTTTGTGATGTTGACTTGGCACTCAACTTGTAGTTGGGTGATGACTTGGTCCCACCAATAGTATGACAACTGCTTGGAAAAACATTTAATATATAACATATACTTATATAATTTGGTTAGATCAGTTAAGCATCTGTCGTTTTGTTGTCAACAGATGAAGTCCGAACAGGTACTTACCGTCAGTTGTTCCACCCAGAACAGCTAATCACAGGGAAGGAAGATGCCGCCAACAACTATGCCCGTGGTCACTACACTGTTGGAAAGAGTTGATTGATTTGGTTCTTGATCGCATCAGAAAACTGGCTGATCAGTGCACTGGTTTGCAAGGATTCCTTCATCTTTCACAGGTAATGGTATCTTTCTACTGCTATAAAACAGTTGGTTAACAAAAAGCACTCTTGCATATAGCATGAAACGGTGTTGACAGCAACTCACTTAGGAACATTTAAAGTTAAAAATAACAATGTCCTAGCAGGGATATTTTTGTGTCTGGTTAGCATACATATTCTAAGGGTTTTATGGTTTGAAACCAATTTGACTTTACAGATATACCTGCGTGCCTAGGCACGAAAATAAAACTGATCTTTGTCAGCCCCGACCGCCTCAGACACAGACTGACTCTAAAGCCAATCATAAACACCCCCTAGAGAATTGGACATTCCTAGATTTCCTTTGTATAGAGTGAATTAAAATTAAAGTAGCCAAGATTGTAACAGGTTTTTACTATATTAGATAGTTCTTGGTTTTTAAAAACAAATTTAAAAGACGTTTTACTGAATACTTGAAAAATCTTTGCAAAGAGAGAGGTGGGGGCCATAATAGATGAACTAGAACATGTGACTGCTGGAAAGAGACCGACAAGAAGGCTTCTTGATAATCATGACATTAACAAGCGCACAGATGCAAACCTGCTGTGGTAGATTATGCAAGGCACCTGGTAATGATTCAGGTTTTTTTTTATTATTAAAAGTTTTGGGCACCCGTGGTAGGACCAACTCAGGGCTGTTTCTGCGATAAAATGTGATTGTGCACACCATACAATGTTTTTTTTAAAAAATGTGTAGTTACTGTATTTATAAAAGAATGTTGCATCTTTAAACACAATGATGCCAGTACTGCGTAACAGTGCATTTCTTGTCTATTAAATAGGGGTTTTCTTCTAAATCCGTGAATGCATATGCCTAAAAGACTAGAAACCAGCAGTCTGCATACAAAGGCAAATCTGTGTACAGCTTGTAACATGAATGTGATATTGTGTCCATCCGTGTACTTTGGAAATAAGTCGGCCTGTCCTCACTTATTCTTTGCCTGAAGTGAAATGTTCCTTCATGCTGTTCTACCATGTTTCAGCTTTGGTGGAGGCACTGGGTCAGGTTTTACCTCTCTCCTGATGGAACGCCTGTCAGTCGACTATGGAAAGAAATCCAAGCTGGAGTTTGCTATATACCCAGCTCCACAGGTGAGTTACTTAGCTCTTTGCCCCTCTTTCCCCTCAACTGTGTGTCCCTATGTACTATCTTGATGACCAGTCTTCAGTTGTTGTTTTTTTCACATTAATCATTGTATCTAATGAGCCTGCTAAAGAAAATCTGACAGTCTTTGTCTGCTTTATAAAATGTTTATACTTTTATGTATATAAAAAATTTTTTTTTCCCGAAATAGGTTATAAACTGTTTTAGTGTCTATCCAAAAAAAAAAAAATGAACTGATGAAGGCAACATAGCGGAAGCGTTTACGTTTTGTTTGTTTTATTCTGAAGCTTGCCAATATACTTTTCGTTCGGTGTTAAATCTTTTCGTGATATTCAAAAGCAAATGTACTATCACACCTGTACTGCAAACTGATACTTCCTCATTGCCCTGGATGTGCTCTCGGTCCCATTTTGTGGCTCGCAGACCTATTGTAACATAAGTCATGTTGTAAAGGGGAACCAGTTTGGGTTTGATGAGATAGATATTCTAATTTGAAAGTTGCAAATATTGCACAATGGCTGTAATCCAGAAAGCTCTACTGCCAGTTTTAATGGTGAAAATCTTGGTTTTTTTGTAATTTGTTTGGGGCTTATGGGTTGAGTTGAGTCAACAATTGACATAGCACTGTGTTCCTATGTGTGCTCCGTCATCTTCAGCAGCCAGCATAGAGTTCCAATACTGATGGTGCCGGTCCACAATCTGGTTATATTTCCTTTTCTTTGATCAAGGGTAAGCATATTACAGTAATTAAAAAAAAAGGGTTGCTGATAACTATACTATTTGTAAACATAAAATGTTGAACAGATGTTTGACACAGTATAATATGTCATCAGGTATCCACTGCCGTGGTTGAGCCCTACAACTCCATTTTGACAACACACACCACACTGGAGCACACTGACTGTGCATTTATGGTCGACAATGAAGCCATCTATGACATCTGCCGCAGGAACTTAGATGTTGAGCGTCCCACCTACACCAATCTCAATCGTCTGATTGGTCAGATTGTGTCCTCCATCACTGCTTCCCTCAGGTGAGCTGTTCTTGTATCGATTTTTCAAAGTTGTTTTGTTCAGGATTTTGAACTCCCTTTCTGTTTATTGTCCACAAAAGAAAATGCATTAGGGAGAGGGGTATGGTTAGAACCACAACACTCCCCGCAAACAAGCATGTTGTAACTGTGACATTCAAAATTTGCCCGAGTGAGAAGGACCACGTCTGCATACAAAAAAAGCCAGACCTGTAAAAAGGTTGTGAAAGTTTTGGGCTAAGGCCACAAGTCCAGAATTGAATGGACAACCAGAACTTTCCGCCTGAGTCTAAGGACAATGAAAGCTAACATTAAATGCCTAACATTGTGTACAGGGATGTCAACCTTGCTGTCATATTAAAAACCCCCCCCATAACCCCCCCCCCCCCCCCCCCCCCCCAAGCAAGCTCACACTAAGCCCAAGGTCATATGCAAACCACTTTTTTATATATACTTTTCCTGTCTAAGTTTCCTTCTGTTTATACTATGGGTTTCAATGCAAAAGGATGTTTGTTTTACCAACGGGTGTGTGTTTTTTTTTTTTAAATCTTAACCCATTCTGCTGTTTGTTGACTTATTACTTTATTCAAGCAGTGCCAAAGATGCTGACCCATCAGTAAAACATCATGAACTTAGGTTAGAAGGATACCCAGTTAACAAAATTATGGGCTCTAAAGGGATATAAGTTCCCAGTCATAACAATTTTTTTTTTTGCATGAATAGAATTTGTATTGATGTATCTTTATTTTATTTTTATCTACCGAAATAAATACGTGGAAACTGATGATATCCTTATAAATTAAAGCATTCTTGGGTTAACTCTATTTGCTAGAACATTCTCTTGTAAAAGAAATTTGGGGTGACAGCTACTTGGACAAATTACATTCGAAGATTGACATGAATCTACACCTTTAGCCTCTTAGGCATATGACAGCAAAGTTCTTTAAAAAATATAAATTTTTTTTCTGAACATTTTTACTTAATGCACACACATCTTTTCTATTTTTTCTCGCACAATGTGAACATGAGTTACGTTTATGCTAAAATATATAAGTTCCCTGATAATAGAAATGTCCATTATCTGAAAAAGAAACCTCATCTATTTCGACTATATCTCAAAACAGGTTGTGTTATTACTTAGTGCTGTTACCTATTTTTTAAACTTGAGGGATGTTTTGTATTCTATTTAACATTGGTTATTCTCTGCAGGTTTGATGGTGCCCTAAATGTGGATCTCACGGAGTTTCAGACAAACTTGGTTCCATATCCCAGAATCCATTTCCCTCTAGTCACATATGCTCCAGTGATTTCTGCAGAGAAGGTAATTTTTTTTTTTTTACATTTCGTGGCTTTTACAATCGCAGTAACAACAAAGCAGAGCCAATTAGATTAGTTCTAATTCTATAGAGTTAATGTTCATTTGCATTCATATCATGTGGTCTCTACTGCTAGTAATTTCTAATGCAAGAAACCAACTCAAGTAACTTAATGTAGCAAAAGAAATGTCCTAATAGAATGAGTGGGATTTGTTTCCTTTGGATTGGAATCCGAGAAGCTTTTGCATCACTCATAATTGTCAGCTCTTCATCATGAAGCAATTTCAAAAGGGGGATACTGAAAAGTTTATCATCATTTGAACTGTCCTACCATCCTCTCTAGTTCCTGCTTTTACTTGTAGTTTTAGATCACAGGCTTATTCTAGCTTTTCTTAATTTGTCTAAAGTGTGTTTCATGTTTAGTGTCTGCAGCATGGTACAAGTGTTCAATACTTATAATTAGTGTTAGCAGTAGTTATTGCGTTTTACACATTACTGGAATTTTTTAAAGTGTTCAATTTCTCATTAAAATGTTAATGCTTCTTTCCCTTAACTAGGCCTACCATGAACAGCTGTCTGTTGCTGAGATCACCAATGCCTGCTTTGAGCCAGCCAACCAGATGGTGAAGTGTGACCCCCGCCATGGCAAGTACATGGCCTGCTGCATGCTGTACCGTGGAGATGTGGTGCCCAAGGACGTGAACGCTGCCATTGCCACCATCAAGACCAAGCGCACCATTCAGTTTGTTGATTGGTGTCCAACTGGCTTTAAGGTAACCTACTGATACTGCATGCTTGCGCTGTATTTAGTTTTTCATTAGTGAATAAATGGTGATTTTTCCCATATTTTGTTAATATCACAATCCTGTCTACATTTTTTCCTTACATAATTTAGGATTTGGTATCCAGCAATTGGCCTGTCTTAAAGCAACACATTCCCTTGTTTAACTTCTTCTTCACGTTCACCAGCTGTAAGTTCCAGCGGAAAGTTCTTGTTGTTCGTCGTCTACTTCTGGATTGCAGTCCTGCTCCAGAACCTGAGTGTTGCATGTGCATCCGTTTTACAGATCTGACTCGTTTGTATGCAGACTGCAGATTCCTTGCCTCTAAGGCAGATGCAATCTGACTTCGAAGAAAACTCCGATTTAGTCGACTCTTACGACATGCTTTTAGGTAGGCGGTGGGTCTATTTTTGTTTTTCCTATAATCGGGCCCTATAACCCACACGGGTACCTTGTTTAACTGATAGGTAAGCTTTAATAAGTTCAGTACCACACTGTTTGGTAGATCTCTCTTGTCAGAAATTAACTTTCCATAAGTGACTGATAAACATTGTGTTTTTCGTTGGCACAGGAGCGGAGCAATTACCTGTTTGCTATAAAGTTGAAACTAACATTACCAAATTCCTCTGATATTATACGTTGGTAGTTAAGCAGGACCTGTCGATTGCATAGGTAAATCCAGGGTCGGAGCATTTTATGTCGGCTATTTTAAAGAAAGATAAGTTCTGCGGTGGAGTAACTGCTTTTTATTTTCTGACACTAGGTTGGCATCAACTACCAGCCCCCAACTGTTGTACCCGGCGGTGACCTGGCCAAGGTTCAGCGTGCCGTCTGCATGCTTAGCAACACCACTGCTATTGCTGAAGCTTGGGCGAGACTTGACCACAAGTTTGATCTGATGTATGCCAAGAGAGCTTTTGTTCACTGGTAAGTATTATAGTTTGAACTGGCAGTGAACATGGTTATAACCATCTTTACCTTTATTACACCTTTGTTGGCGTGAACCTATTTTTCAAGAACTGGCAACAACTTGATACTGTATTTTTTTACTTTGCAAATGAATAGGCGTAGGCCAGATTAGTTTGTTATCGCCATTATGCTTGCAGTCTATTCTTCCACTCGCTCCTCTGCAGTTTTGTTCATTATCCTGGAGGGTATCCATTCCAGCACCTTTGACCTCTCCCATCCTTTATCTTAGTGTTTCTCTTATAAGTCCTTGTTACTTTCATCCACGTTTCCCATTTCAATTGGTTGTCTTAATTTTAAAAAGTTTTATTTGCTTCAAATGGTTAACCGTAAATGTACCTAAAGACAAAAACAATTCATTTATTCACACATATAAGGAATTCGTGAATTCTACGTAACCGGAAGTTTTTTTTCCCACCAAAGGAAGTTTGCAAACATCAATTGTTCTTCACAGCAGAATTTTTTTTTTTTTTTTTTTGGCCATTTCACAAATCCCTTTGTGTGGTCTGCACTGTAATATGGTCATTCTCTAAATTAAATTTGTGACTGATTTTACTGAAAATTTTCACTCCAGGTGTAGTATTGCTCATGGCTGCTTTCTTTTTACAGGTATGTTGGTGAAGGCATGGAGGAGGGTGAGTTTTCTGAGGCTCGTGAAGATCTGGCGGCTTTGGAGAAGGACTACGAAGAGGTTGGCCTAGACTCCGTTGATGCTGAAGCTGCAGAAGATGGAGAGGAGTACTAAATCTACCTCAAGTGTTTCAGAAATGTTACTTTTTGACTAAACGTATTCAAAATTTGTTGTTACAGTAACTTTATTTCTTTGACATGAATGTTGTAACAGTTTGTGTCCATTTCCCAAATCTTCATTGTTGATTTCAGGAAATGAATTAAAATGATATTTGGATCAGCAATCTTTTATTCCCCTGTATTTATTGTATGGCTGGTCAAAGCTTTGTATGTTGTGTTGTTTCAGAGGTGTGCAGTTTTCCCCCGGTTATGTGAAAAGTCAGCTGATAAACTTTGAGATAAGTGTGAGATAATACCTGATTAACCAAGTATGAGGAAGTGAACTGATATGATGGTGAATTGCACTTATTGGTTTGGTACATAATGAAATACTTTCACCAAAATCGGTCTAGTTTTAGGCTGAAGTGATGGGAATGTGCCCCATGCATACTGTTTCCTGTTAGTTTTTTCATGTTTGAAACTTCTTTCATTCACTTGAAGTAAATGATCTATATCTGCAATGTTGTCTCTAGTGTGAACTTTACTGTCTTTTTGTAATTCACCTGTGCGGTTTGACTTGCACCGATGTTTCTCTTTACCAAAAGTTTTGCCTTGGTATGTTTGTTGTATTTGGGACAGTCTTGGCTGATATGATCTGTTGTCTCAGGTGCCAATCCACCTTAACTAGAATGTCAGGGACGGTAACAGTTTAATTACACAAAATGCTTACTGCCTGTGAAGCGAAGCTAACAACTGGAAGGAGTGACCAACAGCAGCATCCTTACATGCACAGGACTGTTGATTGTTGCTAGTTCTGTAACTTGTGGTTAAAACGGGGTATCTGTCATCAACACTGATACTTTATTTTTACAATGTCAAATCTATAGGTACTCTTGGCCTGTTATCCAGTGTTGGTATTCTTTCAGGATGATGGCATATTAGACTGGCCGCTCTGCACAACTTGGTGTAGTGAATTCGCATTTACTGCCAGAGGGTCCTGGTTGTTTATCCACCTCTGTACTTGACTTCTACCATAACCCGAGTTTTGCGTGCACATCCGTTTTATAGACCTGGCTTATTTGTATGCAGTCGTGAATCCTCATGCATTCCGACTTCAAAGGGCTGTCAACATGATCGTCAGGGAGGCAATGATCTAATATTTCATTGTTCTTTCCACTCCCCCACATTGTAGCACGAAATCCACAACTTGGTGGTGGTGTGCATAAGATGAATGCTTTGGGGTCGGAGTTTACGGCACAGAAGGATCTAAAATCTCAGGAGAATGGGGCTGTCTGGTACCATCGGAATAGGTACACTGCTCTTGCTGCTGAAGATAGGGGGTGAAGTGCTTATGTGAATGTCTTAAGAGCTGTGATGTCAATTCGTAAAACGAATTGTCACATTTTATGTGTACCAAATCATATATAGTATTGTGTGCACCATATGTAATGAAGCAAGTGGATATATAGAATAGGAGGCATTTCACAAATCAAATTCTAAAGAGAATGAATGAATAGTCAATTAAGTGCCGTTTCCACAGTGAAGAAAGTTGTCTTCAATGGATCGCTAACAGGCTGTCTCTTGACCGTATACTCAGGCTTTTGTTCGTCCATTTCTTGATGCTGTCCTCCCACTTTTAAAAGATGTTTCAATGTGGCCAAAATATTTTAAGTCTCTTTCTCTCTTTTTTTTTTTTTAACCTTCCAGCAACTCTTCGATTTTCTAGTTTGTCCAAGTTCCTGCACCATACAGCAGGATTTAGTATACATATCATTTGACGATTTTTATTGTTCTGTATATCTATCAAGAGTCGGCTCTGTGGCTAAGTCGATGCGAATGCTTCGCTTCGTGATGCCAGGTTTGATCCCAGCTGCGGGCAATGCGCCTTGCATTGATTTCGACAGTGGTATCAAGAAAGCCGACCGTCCAGAAAGCAATGACAAACTACTGGATGTAAATTGCCTAGAAAAACCACACAACAGCCAGGGGCTGTTAGGGTTGGTTCTGCAACGTCCTGTAAAGGATACGCAACTATATGTCTAGATCGTTGGTTCTCAACCTTCATAATGCCGCAACTCTTTGTGTCTCATTTCATCCTGCAGGGATTTCTTCCAGCTTGCAACTCAATACAGTTCATCTTGTGGCGACCATCAACCATATAATTTTTTCGTTGCTGCTTAATAACTTAGTGAATGTGTTGATGGTCTTGGTGACCCCCCTATGAAAGGGTTGTTTGACTCGCACGTTGAGGACCCCTGATCTAAATGCTAGTAAAGTTTTGTCATTTCTATTCTCCCTCTCTCAATCATCTGTTATTGCGTGTCCAGGATACTTGTTACTTGCTCTAATATTTCATCGTTCACTGCTGGTTGCCACTATCCATTGCTAATGATTAGTTTTCATGAAATCCGTCTGTTTCAGAGGAAAGTGGTGCTTAGATGCAGTAGTTTTTCTAAGTCAATAACAGTATGCCGAGTGTTCCCCAGTCTCCAATCCTCCTCAACTTCTGCGGTTAGGAGCACAACTGAGTGGCCCAGGAAGACCTCTTATATGCAGATTACATACTCGTGTACCGAAGAACCTAGGCGAATCAGCTGTTGCGTCGTCTACAAAATGAGTAGTTTGGGTTGACAATTGCTTGTAGAACTGACAGCACCAGTCAAAAGAACCACACTCTGCTCTATTTGCTGTGCTGTTGCCCATTCAGGAAAGAATAGGCCACCAGAAGTGGATCTGCCTCTGCAGGAAATATGAACCTGTTGATATAACTTGGTTGCAATCTGGGCATCCTATGTGTATTCCTCCTCCTCCGTCTCTTACTGCTCTCTTGGCTGAACCACCTGTAAAACACTAATCCAGCTCTGGTCTGGATAAAGCCTATTTATATTTCCTTCAGTAACTGACTTTATATCAGTGCCGCTATTGATGATTCGGAGGAGATCCCTGTTACAGCGGTTCTGACTCTTGCAAAAAGAAGTCTGATATGGGCTTTGAGTGCATGGTCCCTGTCATAATACGAGGAGCATGGTTTTGGATCTTCGAGATTTTCTGAAAATTTTGATTTAGCTGCTATTCCAAATTCTAGTGTTGGCCTCATATAGCCTGTGTAGGTCCTCTTGAGGACACTGAGGTTTGCTCCTCCCCCAGCTAACTTCCACATCAGTTGAGGTCTCTTGCTCTGTGTCTTTTCTGTGTTTTCTCCACGTCTTGGGTCAAAGGTAACTCCTAAATATGGTGGGTGAGTCATCGTGGTTCAGTGCCTGAATACAATGTATGCGAAGCTTTCTGGGTTTGGTGGAGGGACTGAAATGGTGTGTGTGTGGTTTTGGTCCCATTTACAGGCATGTACAAATTATTGAAACACTTTCTTTAGACTTCCGAGGGATTCTTGAAGCCTTGTCTGTGCTAGCACCTAATATTCTCATCTGAGCTCAGTAGTGTCCAGTTTTTCGGCGTGCATGGCAGCTAGAACTCCCTGAAACAAAGCCAAATTCCAGAAATGGACGAACCAGGTCTTTCCACCAAAGTTTATAGCTGGTGAACGCAAACAACTTACATATTTAATATTATTTAAAATATATTTGTAAAAAAATAATGATGGTAATAATAATAATTGGGAGCATAAACATTGATTGATATATATATGGTGGTTCTGAGGCCTCATATAGGGAAAACAGGAATAGACCCACTGCCTCCCCAAGAAGCATGTCGTAAGAGTAAATTAATTGAAGGTTTCCTTTGAAGTCGGAGTGCATCTACCTGATAGGCAAGGAACCAATATTCTACATACAAATAAGCCAGATATGTAAAACGGCTGTGCACGCAACACTCAGGTTCTGGAACAAGTCTCAAATCCAGAGGTGGATGATCAACCAGAACTTTCCGCCCGAGTTTACAGCTAGTAAACGCGAAGAAGATAACTAGAGCTGGTGGCTGTCAGTCAGTCAGTAGCATACCCTTTGCAGAATCCTGCTCCCATAATAACCCTCTGAAAAACTTCTTGATCACAAGCAAGATGTCCGATACACCCATCTGAAGATCATCCGCTACATCCTGCACCCATTTCCTCTTTGGCCTTCCTCTTCCTCTCTTTCCAGGCATACACCCCTCCATTATTGTTCTCCTAAAATTTCGTAACGTTTCAAGTGACCATAATATTTTAGTTTTCTGTGTTTTATCGTCTTTAACAGTTAATCTTCTTCAATATTCAGTTCTTGAAGTATGTTTGCATTTCTTTCCTTTACCCATGATATTTTTAGAACTCGTCTATAACATTTGTATTCAAAGGCATTCATGTGCTGTTCAGCGTGTTTAGTAAGTGTCCACGTCTCACAGGCGTATGTTGCAAAATTTCTTTCACTGTGTCACCATTTTTGGCAATCAGTGACCCAAGATATTTAACATTCTCGACAACCTCCAGTTTTTTCTTATTAACATATATTTTTTTTCTCCATGGTATTTGTTTGCATTATCTTTGTTTTTATTATGTTAAGATATTTTGGTGGTAGAAAGAGATAAAATAGAACTCTTTTTGAATAATGGGAAGACAGAAGTAATGGAGACTTCCAACAAAATAAAAGTACCCAATGTATAATAAAAGTAAAAAGCGTTATTTTAGGACAAGTAAAGACATTTAAATATTTAGGCCCGTGGATAACGTCTGAAGAGAAGAATATAACAGGAGAGGCCAAAACTCCTTTGATAAAATAAAGAACATTTTATGCAATCAATCCATGTCATTGGAGGTTAGGAAAAGAATTCTCGCATGCTATATAGAGCCAGTTTTAACATACGGCTGTGAATAAACAAGCCGAAGAATATCTTGAGGCCTCAGAGATGTTGTTTTAATGAAGAATATTTAGGATTCATTGGACAGCTAGGCAGAGCAACCCATGTGTTTTGTGTTAGCACTCAGTTGTAGATTGTGGAGAGGCATGATCGCCCACGTCAGTCGAAAAGGCACTTGATGAGGATGAAGCCAATTTAGTCCCGCCCTCTCTCTAGACATCTAGAATATAATAATAATCTGCAGAGCTTCCCCTGCAGATTTTTTGGTGGCCTACTGACTACCCACAGAGAAGCACCACTATTGACATGACGACCTCTTGACCTTTTAACCTTGCATGTGATTTAAGACAGCTTCCGGAAAGAACTCATCTTTGTTTCTCAGGGATTTCTTCCAGCTTGCAACCAACTGCAGCTTGGATCGCTGTCTGTTTTTGGGATTGTGTCGCGGTGATTCGTGTTTCCTTTTTTTGAAATTAAACAAGAAATATGCCTGTCTTTCACACGAAGACGATTGAAAGTATATTGGAGCCTGTGGCCCAGCAGGTAAGCAGATAATTGTGTGTACGCGAAGACAGGAGGGTTTAGGCTAGCAGACGATGAAAATAGAGGGGCCATGACGCCGGCTCCAGAGCGGTTTGTTGTTAGAATACATGTTATGAGTATAGTAGAAGAACGGTTTATTTTTGAGGCTTTATAGTCGCCCGTTGAGCCGATTTTGTTTCCTCTTCTACCATGCTATCAGCCTAAAGTCTAAGCGTTTCAATTTATGTGCTAGTCGTTTTCAAAGATTTATCCTGTCCATCTCCTATGGTTTATACACCTGTATATATTTTTTTCATGTTAAATAATACATATCATTTAATTGTAAAATATTTGTGTTGTTTTCGAAATAATGCTTAATATTACTGATTATAACTGGTCAGTGTTTATTGAAACTACCTCTACTATGCTGACATTTTATAAATCATTTCGATCGGGTACCTAGTCTAGAGGAAAGAAACCTTAAAAATGGTCGCTAATTTGATAATAGTAACCCAACATTGATAACTGTTAGCCTTAATCTCAAATGCAATCAGTTTTCTTGTACACATAAGTGGCCAACATTTTAGTTTTGCCTGGCACGGGGATTGTCTGTGGGTGGCTTTGTTCAAAAACAGGAGTGGTCGGTTCAGGATTTGCATGCATAGTGGAAGTCAAACACAAGGCTGCGCGCATAGAGGAATCAATAATTGGACAATACTGTCGAGACAGTTCCGCTCCCCAAATGAGATGTGAAAAGTGCCGGTTTGTAGCATGAGAATTAGCTATCTTTACCTCAGTGGAAGATAAAACCCCCAGGAGTAAGTGAAAGAAAGAAAAAGGAAGAAGCATGCCTGTGCATTTACTTTATGGATATTGCAAGATTTAGAACATTTTATCTTGGCATGCATTTGCATTCTTTCAAGTTATGGGAGGTTTCGGTCTGTTTGTTGATATATATATATATACCCCACTGGAGGATACAAGAAAATGAAGAATGCGGGAACCCATAAACTATTAGGATCCTACAAGATTGTGGGACAGGCATCTTCAGACTGGCCTGTCATAGCTCTTAACTACAATAAGTATCTTTCATACGACATGTATATGACAAACCCCCCCTCCCCCTCCCCCATTTTCCCCCACCCTGCCGTTCACATGAAATAAATTGTCTATATCTGCATATTTTGTGTGATTACAAACTTGTCTGAAACTGTGAATGAGGAAAAAAAATTGAAAGTTTATAATCTTCAGATTAAATATACGCATATAATTGATCTGCATAATGTGACTACAAAACAAATTGAAGACCAGTACCGCTGCGGGCTTCCTCTGGCTGATTTCCTGCTGACTAGTACACCAAAGTCGGCTCTGTGGCTACGTCGATGCGTTAGATCCCAGCTGCGGGCCATGCGCCTTGCGTTGGTTTCGACAGTGGTGTCAAGAAAGCCGACCGTCTAGGAAGCAATGGCAAACTACTGGACGTAAATTTGCCTAGTAAAATCACACAACAGCCAGGGACTGTTGGGGTTGGTTCTGCAAATTCCTGTAAAGGATGCGCAACTAACTTTTTAGTAGACCAGAGGTCGATGCGTTGGCCACCCCTATGCTACATGATGATCAGGAGGGTTCAGCTACTTCCTGTCGAAAAACCGTTGGTACTTTTACTGTAGTTCACCCCATCTCATGAACTCCTAGATTTCATGGGAGTTCCCGGGAAAGTCCACAATTATATTGGGGGGGGGGGGATGAGGGGGTAGTGTTATACGCTGTTCATTTCACACCCGAACACGCCAATACTATTGGACTTTCCTGGGAACTCTCCACGAAATCTCGGAGTCCACGAGATAATTAACTAAAAGAAAAAAAACTAAATAATTTTCCCACAGCCTCCATTTTTCTAGAGTCTGTTTATCAGGAGCGTCTGAACCAGTGTTGTTCAACAGGTGGTCCGCGAACCACCAGCGGTCCGCGCCAGATTTAAAGTCCGGGCCTTATTGTGGGGGAACAAAAATAGACACACTGCCTACCCAAAAGCGTGTCGTAGGAGCCGACTAATTGGGGGCGTCCTTCGAAGTCGGAGTACATCTGCCTGAGAGGCAAGGAACCAAAGTCTGCACGCAGATGAGTCAGACTTGTGAAACGAATGTGCACGCAACACTCAGTTTCTGGAACAGGACTAGAGTCCAAAAGTGGACAAACAAGCAGAACTTTCCGCCGAGTTACAGCCGGTGAACGCGAAGAAGAAGAAGAGGAAGTATAAAGCGACTAGACGAATCCAGCACTACACTGCTTTATACATTTTTGAACCTTTGAATAGCAGCAGATGTCACAGGTGAACATTGTATCTTTGAGTTGAGTTGAGTCAAAAATTGACATCACAGCACTCGGGGCATTCCCATGCGTGCTCCGTTCTCATCTTTAGCAGCCAGCACAGAGTTCTAATACTGATGGTACCAGTCACAATCTGGTTATATATCCGTCTTGCCTTTCCTCTGAATGTAGTGAGCCGGCCAGGCCCTCTGGTTACATCCAGGTGCCTCATTCTCTCCAGGCCATAATAATCTTGTTTCTTTACTGATTCAGTTGCTTGTTCACAAAGGGCCTTGACCACATCTGCCTTGTCATGTATTAATTCACCAACTGTCAAATCTGTCTGCCTATTCATTAACCACTACGCTGACATAGTCTGGAGAAAAGATCCAAAGTATGCTCACTACCCGTGACCTTCACAGTGAAGCTTGTCACTCTGCTCGAAGCATCTGTATCTTTGTGACAGCGGAAATTAGAAATAAACTGCGGTATGTTGGGTGGTTCGTAAAAAACAGTTTGCTTGGTTTTGCAGGTCCGGGTTGTAAACTTGTTGAATAACGTGTCCACTCACTCACTGCCCACAGTAGTTCGACGCAGTTCCAAGAGCTTTTTCTGAATGCTCCTTATTTGTTTCATTCCGGTCTTATCCCGCCCCATTTTTGTTCAGGGCGTCTAGCCCAGTGCAGTGTTGCCACTTTTCTTTGACCAAAAACATCCAAAACGAAGTCAAAAAATATCTAAACACATCTACATTTGCGTGGAAAACATCTAGAAAAAAACATCCAAATGGAAAGAGTCACATAGCCGGGGCCATCGAAAGTACTACCGATGGTCCCGACATAGCAATTGAAATGACTTACCCTATAGAATCATGTCCTCATCTTTACTAAAGTCTGACTTACAAGATCTACAAGGATAAACTTAGCTTGGATGACGAAGTTGAAGCTTCAGATCCAAAATGACTCTGGTATGCTTTAGCTGTTCCAATTTCTTTTAATACTCAACCAGGGAGCTGATAAGTGGAACCGCCTTTTCTTACAAGATAGCATTTAAGAGGTCAAATTTCATCTTTTTTCTTAGGTTAGATTTGATAAATTCACTCAAAATGAAAACAGCTAGAAAAACATCTACCATCTAAACGTCAAAAACACCATCTAAATGCCAGGGGAAAACATCTAAATCTGGATATAAAACAACATCCGAAGTGGCAACACTGTCTAGCCTTGACCTGTTAACTTGTGGCTCCACGTTTGTAAATGTGAACAGACTTTAACGAATGCTTGGGAAGGCCGTTGTAACGTGAGAGCATCAGCTGACTTCTGGGCGCTTTTAAAAAAAATATTATTGATCTACTTTTTGTGATTCTTCTTTTTCTTCTTCCTCTCCTCCTTTCCCACCGCATTTTCTTCTTCTTCTTCTTCTTCTTCTTCTTCTTCTTCTTCTTCTTCTTCTTCTTCTTCTTCTTCTTCTTCTTCTTCTTCTTCTTCTTCTTCTTCTTCTTCTTCTTCTTCTTCTTCTTCTTCTTCTTCTTCTTCTTCTTCTTCTTCTTCTTCTTCTTCTTCTTCTTCTTCTTCTTCTTCTTCTTCTTCTTCTTCTTCTTCTTCTTCTTCTTCTTCTTCTTCTTCTTCTTCTTCTTCTTCTTCTTCTTCTTCTTCTCTTCTTCTTTCTTCTTCTTCTTCTTCTTCTTCTTCTTCTTCTTCTTCTTCTTCTTCTTTCTTCTTCTTCTTCTTCTTCTTCTTCTTCTTCTTCTTCTTCTTCTTCTTCTTCTTCTTCTTCTTCTTCTTCTTTTCTTCTTCTTCTTCTTCTTCTTCTTCTTCTTCTTCTTCTTCTTCTTCTTCTTCTTCTTCTTCTTCTTCTTCTTCTTCTTCTTCTTCTTCTTCTTCTTCTTCTTCTTCTTCTTCTTCTTCTTCTTCTTCTTTCTTCTTCTTCTTCTTCTTCTTCTTCTTCTTCTCCTTCTTCTTCTTCTTCTTCTTCTCCTTCTCTTCTTCTCTTCTTCTTCTTCTTCTTCTTCTTCTCTTCTTCCTTCTTCTTCTTCTCTTCTCCTTCTCTTCTTTTTCCTCCTCCTCCTTCTTCTTCTTCTTCTTCTTCTTCTTCTTCTTCTTCTTCTTCTTTTTTCCCACCGCGTTTTCTTCTTCTTCTTCTTCTTCTTCTTCTTTCCCACCGCGTTTTCTTCTTCTTCTTCTTCTTCTTTTTCTTCTTCTTCTTCTTCTTCTTCTTCTTCTTCTTCTTCTTCTTTTTCTTCTTCTTCTTCGTCGTCGTCTCCGTGCGTGATGATAATCAGGACCCGTTTTGCTAATATGTGCACAGTCTATGTGGTTATGTTTATTTATTTTTTGCGGGCAGAAAGAATAATATCTTTGTTGGACGTGCCACGGTACTTTACTTAACTACACCGGAAGCACACCCTCTACAGTTAGTGGGTGCAACTGAGAGATAAGTCAAGATGTCCTTTTGTTCAGAGAGCTGGCTATTGACATTGGCTGGTTCTAAAGTGCCAGCGGAGATAGTAAGAGACTGCTTCCTTGTTCTCCTTCTTCTGGGCTCGTGAAGTTTGGATTAACTTTCTCTGTGGTCTTCATGGTAAATGTGTCGCGGTGAGGCTTGAACGGGTAATGCGTTCGTTGGTGCTAAACCTGGGATCCCCGGTCCATTGCGGCCCCCAACCCCTTTTTATTGGTGCTAAGCATGGGATCTCTGGTCCATTGCGACCC